CCATATAGATGTCAGCCAGCCTTTCCCACAAGGCTCAGCACCCACTAGAAGAAATGATGATGCAGCCACTCAGCTGTAGCCAAAAGCCCCGTTGGCTTCCATCGCATTCAAAACTGGCTGTCAAAACCATGCTTGGCAACATGGATCCAAATCAGTTGTGCAGTTGGTAGCACAGTTTCCCTGTCAGTATGAACAGGGCCTTTTCTCTTTAAAATCACTTTGCTATAGATGATACCCACTGACAACACATACACAATTAGTGTTGAAGCTTAGTTTTCACCGTCAGGTTCTGAGAACCACTTGCTAACCAAGTTGTTGAGCTGGGACAGAAATGAGCTTCACGATTACGTCTGGCTGAAATCCTTTTGGGAAATATTCTCAAGTTCCATATCAAGGCCTCCATGAAAAAAAAACAAAACTATAGAATTTATCTTTGATCTGTGAATTATTCATTCACTCTTCAGAACAGTACTTCTTAGGATTGGAAATAATAAGGGGCTATTCCTAATTTAAAGGTAGAGGAAGGAACATTTGAACTCTAATTCTGCAGGGTCAGTATTGGTAGAAATGTTTAAATGTCTAGAAATAAATAGGATTTTAACTAATTCTTCTTGTTTTACTAATAACCCAGATCCTTTCTGAATGAAACAGGCTATATACAACTGTAAGATTACTTTATATTAAATACCTATCCTTTTTGAAGTTTCCCCATCTGGAAAATGATGACATCAAATCAAATGGCCTCTAAGGTTCCTTCCATCTCTAACAATCTATTATTCTATGTTCCAAGGTACCTTCCCTTGTGGCATTCTATGTTTTGTGTTCTAAGGTACCTTTCAGCTCTGGTATCCCATGTTCATGGTCTCTTCTAACTTTAAAATTCTGTGATTCTATACATTTGTTTTCCCCCAATACTTTTATTAACAAGTAAATGAGCAATTGTGAAGCTGAAAGTCTTCAGACGCCTGCACTTTCTATCAGTGATTAAAGACAATGAAGCTTTCATGTAAGCTTTAGGGTGCTGCAAAAACTAGAATGATTTTTCCCTACTAAGTCCATTAGTTGTTTTGGCATCATGTAGACTAGGCCACAGTCCCCATCTCAGTTTAGTCTATTCCCCAAATAGCTCACTGTGAATCAAAAGGAATTGGAGTTCCACTGATAAAGTACTAGCATTCCTAGCTTGCTCTATTGGAGCTGGGTATATGGGAGTTAGAACTCCCTAGCCAAGCAAGCTGTTTCCATATTAGGCAGAAGAGTCTCAGCTTTGGTTGCAGCTCTGTGTTCATGGAAGCATCTCCAAGAAACAAAGCCCTAATCTAGACCTTTAACTCTTAGCAAAAAGAAAAGACAGCGATACCTTCTTAGGAGACAGGAGGAAGCAAAAGAAGGGAAAGAGGAAAAGAAAGGAAGGGAGAGAGGAGAGAAGAAAGGAAAGGAAGAAATTGTTCTTGTTTGGAACACAACTCAAAAAACTAAAAGAGTTTTGTCTGTTTATGGATTGTTGGCATTTCAAAAAAATGGCAATACTTCAAAGATCAATTATTTCCTTAGTATAGTTCCTCCACCAATGTGAAGCCAACTCCTCCATGTTCAAGCCAATTCCTCATATTCAACCTGGCATAGTGGAAAGAGCTCCAGATTAAACTTCAGAAGACTTGGGTTTGAATCCCTGTTTTGACACTAAGTAGCTTCGTGATCTGGTTAACTCACTTTATGCCTGAGCCTCAGTTTCTTCATCTGTAAAATGTACTGCTCACCTCACAAGTTGCAAGAAAACACACAAGGGGCAATTGTAGAAATGTAAACACTGTAGAAATGTAAGCATTGTAGAAATACAAGTAACAGACCTTGGGCAATCCTCTGGTACTGAATTTCTTCAAGTTTAGCTTTTGTTGGTCTTCAGTAAAAATGACAAATAATCAAATGTGCCAATAAATGTTTAACAACCAGCTCTCTAAAAAACAAACAAGTATATACACAAGGCACATTTTTCAGTTTAATTTGCATTATAAACGTTTTCTCCCATTACTTTCTCCCATTACTGTTTCTTACAATCAGTAAATTAATAAACCAAGCCTTGATTTGCAGTGATTGCCAACTTCTGAGGTGCAAATCTCATATAATTTAACTATCAATTCTATAGGAACACGCTCCAGCACACCCCTGCAATATAAATCCATTTCTGAGTCAGTATTCCAAACCTTTCCCACTTGTCAGAAATTGTGCTCTTCTAGTGCTGCCTATGTCACCTCTATGCCAAAATGAGACTTCAAAGTAGGAATTTGGTGTAAGTGTATTGAGGTGTGTGTGTGTGTGTGTGTGTGTGTTGAACAGGATTAGGAATAACAATGCCCTAAGTGTAATAGGGTTATATGGAAAGGGGGAAGGGAATAATCATTTATATAGTGCCAACTTTGTGCCAGGCACTGTGCAAAGTGCTTTTTACAAATTTTATCTCATTTGATCCTTACAATAACCCAGGAAGTAGGTGCTATTAATATCCCCATTTTACAGTTGAGGAAACTGAAGCAAAGGCTCAGTGACTTGCCCTGCGTGTCTGAGACTGGATTTGAACTCAGGTGTTGACTCCAGGCCCAGCACTCTATCTACTGGGCCACCAGCTGCCTCCAACCTCACTTGTTTGTCATCCCTCAATTTGCTATTTGTCTTATTTTCATAATTAATCTTATCTCAAGCTCTTGAATAATATAAGAGCATGTTTATATACTTACTGTTAATTAATAAAAATTTTACATATTTCTAAATTAATCAACTAAGCTCAGAGCTTCTACTCCAGTTCATCAAGTTAATATTAATTTAATAAACTGGAAAAAACTTCTTTCCCAAGATTAGTTACTCAAACCCTGTATTTATTAAAATCTAATCTTTTCAGATTAGATATCAAAGTTGTTGCATATTTATCTTAACAATAAAATCAATAATAAAATTGATACAGATAATTCTTTACAATATTTTAGCTAGGAGAAAGATCACAGCAGTTATCACCTCAAGTCCTCACTGAACTGCAGGAGACTTGTTAACATCTGAGAACACACAGTTCTACACCATTTAGTTCACTTAAGATAACAAATAAGGTCTCATTGTCTCTCCTTTCTGTCTTCTCCAACCTATCTCCAGCCATGACTAAAAAATAATCACATCTTGTCTCAAGCCCTCACTCTTAATAGTCTCCCTCCAGAGTTACTCTTAATAAAATTTTCTTTATAATGTTTCTTCATAAAATAATAGTTGACAGTTCTAACAAGAAAGAAGTGTATCCTCACCTTCTTTCTGTTTTCCCCACAGTTTATCTCAGATCAAAGTTAAACTATCTCTCTCTCACACACACTCTCCCAGACTCCACAGGGAGAAGTATCTCATAGAATGACGGTTACAATTGTCATCTTCTTGGCCTCTCTCATCTTAAAGAAACAGCCATAGTTTCTATACATAAAACACATACAATTTGAATGTTCCTGGTATGCTGTCTTTGAATTAATCTACTTCAAGCTTCATATCTTTTGGGGTTCACTCATTTCATATCATGAGCCAAATTTAACCAGCTACCAAATTTAAATCCTTTTTAAAACAATGACTTTTTTTGGGGGGGAGTCTTTTTCTTCACTAAAATTAAGAGTGGTGTTATAATAAATTCAGAGTAATAAACTTTTACTTGATTAAAAAAATGAGCACAAAATGCACTGTCCCCCAATCTTTGCAGCATAAATTCCCACTTTTCTTCTTCTAAATGTCCATTTCCTATCTCCTTACTATTCCTCTCCCAAATAATCAACTCTCTGCCTCTCAACACACCAATCTACAGCGTTGATGTCTGTAGGGAGCTAACAAAACAATCAACTTCTGGAATCCATATTAGTTTCTGACCTTGCCTTGTCTCACAATTTTTTTAATTCCCTCTCTCTCTTCCTCTCTCTCTCTCTCTCTCTCTCTCTCTCTCTCTCTCTCTCTCTCTCTCTCTTCCTCTCTCTCTTTCTTTCTCTCCTCACAAGACTAAAGCTTTGGAATAAAACTTAAGTAGAAGGATCGAGGGGAGATCCAGGCCACAGTCTCCAAAACATATTTACATGCCAATACACTTCTGCAGGGTTTCTGCACCTCATAAAATTGCTTAAACCCATAAATAAAAATAATGCCTTCTAAAATGTGACTTCCTTGGGTTTCATTCCTTTTGTTCCTATAAAGAATAAGTGAAGGACAAAGTCCTCCTTTTACCTCACACTGACCTGGGGTCAGTCAGCCGGTGCCATAAACCATCAGCTAAAATTTATTTGAGTCTCACTGTCTGTTATATTTGAGGGAATGGCTAAAAAGCACCAGTTGACGGAGACAGGAGGTGCTTTTTCTATTTCAAATTGTTGCTTGGAATGCTGTGTGGGTGGGTGGGTGGGGGGCGGTATTCTGAGCTTTTCTCCGTGTTTCCCCTTCATGAAGTCCTACCTAGGACTCGAGACATATGCCCGCAGGGTAAGTGAGGAGCACTGCTTGTCCACTTCCCTTGCGCCCTCTAAGCTAGATCAGGATTTCGCAGATTCCCCCCGCCACACACTTACAGACACACAGAAACAGACACACACACACACACACACACACACACACACACACACACACACCACCTCAGCTTGCATCCTAGGGTTGTAGCCCATTGCGGAGGAAGTTTCCAAATATGATAAGCCTGAGGGGAATGAGCCAGGAATAAAAAAGCCTGCCATTGACAAAACCAACTCTCCTTTCCCCATTCTCCACCATCTTCGCCACCCCCTTCAAAAAGACAGGGACAGGGACGCTTGGGAGTTCCATAACTCAGAATGACATTCATTAAGCAACTACTACATAAGTTAATGAAGTCACCGCCACCGCCACCGCCACTGGATGTATTTTCCTCCTTCCGAGTCTGTGTGCACGTCTGTATCTCTCTGTGTCTCAAGTCTGCGGGTGGCGTGTGGTGGTAGCTTTGGTGCATTCGGGAATGCACTCTGTCCCTTTAAGAGTCAGTTTCACTCCCCCCATTCATCCCCCCCCCCCGCTTTCTCGCGCTGGGAGGGAGAAGGGAGGGGGTGCGGGGGAACCTCGGTAGGGATTGGTGCAGCCGCCAAGGCTAGAGGGGGGCTCCTCTCCTCCTTCCTAGACCTCCCCCCATCCCCCCACCCCCGTCAGTGCGGTGGAAAAGGGCAGTTCCGTCTAGCGCTGACGTCAGGCCGTCTGCCTGCCTCAGTCCCGTATCTCCATATGAAACCCAATCTCCTTGGACTTGAAGGAGGAGGCGGAGGAGGCGGAGTGGCTGGGGAAGCCGCCGCCGGGAGTCCGTCGCTCCGTCCGGCCAGCGCAGAAACAGAGTAGTAGCTAGGCGCTTTCCGCCGGCGCTGGGGCAAGAGAAACTTACCGAGAGGCTGGAGAGAAGGGGAGCCGGGGGGAGGGAAGAAAGAGCAGCGAGGTCCTCCCCCCTGTTTGACTGTGTCTTCCCCCCACCGTTTTTTGGGTTTGGTTTTGTTTTATAACTTAATTTTTCCAGAATTGTATTTTTTTTTTAAAGAGAGAAAAGCGCATTGCCTTCTCTACCCTCCCCGGGCTGGAGCAGCGGCAGCCGCAGGATCCTCCTTTATGTGGTGCCTCCCGGAGACCCCCTCGCTCTTCTCCAAGTCCCCCGTTTTCCTCTCCCTCCTTTTTAAATGTATAACTTAATGGGTCTCAACAGCACCGCGGCCGCCGGGCAGCCCAATGTGTCCTGCACATGCAACTGCAAAAGGTCTTTGTTCCAGAGCATGGAGATCAGTGAGTATCCTATCTCCCTTCGCTTCTCGCTCGGGTTCCCCTCGGTCCTGGCCCCCCAGCAGAGTCCCTGGCCCCTTTCCTGGGGGACCCCTTGTCTTGTAGCCTTTCTTCTGCTGCGCTCTCTCCGGCGTTCTCTCTTCTCCCCTTACTGCTTTTCTCTCGTCTCTCTTTCCTCACCTCTCCAATTTCCTCTCACCTCTTTTTCTTTGCTGTCTTTTCTCTCCTTCTCTTTTCTGCTCATCTCACTTTCTGCTCGCCTCATTCACTTCTCACCCTCACTCTCTTATCCTAACCTATCTTCTTACCTCTTCACACCTCCCGTTTCTTCTTACCTCACCTCTACTCTTCTCACCTTTCTTCTCCCTTAAGCTCTCAAACCGCAGTCCTCTTTCCTGTCACTCCAGAATCCTCTTTTCCACCGGAGGTGCGGGGTCTATCTGTCTGCCTGTCTGTCTGTCCGTCCTGTATGTCTGTGTCTGGGATGTTTTCTGAGCCTGAAAGTGCTTTCTGTTCCGGCTTCCCCGCCTGGCAGCTCCGGGTAGGGTCTCATGAGTCTGTGACTTTTGGAGAGGCGGAGGAAGAATGGCCACGGGGCAGGTGGTGTTGGGGTCCCCGCGGTCTAGTTGCTCTCCCTGGTGCTTCCTGTTTCCAGATCCTCTTCGGAACTGGGTGCCCTGGACAGGGCTCATCCTCTGCTACCTGAGTCACTCCCCATTCCTCCCAGTTCTTCAGCCCCGCGGGCAGTGTCTCCCGGGTCGGACCAAGCCGCTTCTCGTCCCCAGCGCTCCTTAAATTGTCACCTCTAGCCGGGCCCGGGAATGGGTACGGTGAGGGACTGGGATGTCCAGGCTTTGAAGGCTCTGGCCCCCGGAGGCCGCCGTGAGGAGGTAGGGAGGCTCGGCGGGAAGGCGCGCGCCGCCGCCGCCGCCGCAGGTCTCCAGCTGGCGCGATTCCCGGCTTTGTCCCCGCGGTCCCTGAGCGAACTCAGCGGGGTGTGAGGAGAGGAGGGAGTGGGGCGGCGATGGCCAGGCCCTAGAGCCAGTTAAAGCCCCTGCTCCTAGAGTGAGCAGTCGCCACGACCCCCTTCCCTAGCCCAAGAGCTCCCCTTTACAGGTATCGGACCCTGAGCCTAGGAGACTTTATGGATCAGCCTGGAGGAAGGTTTGTTTCATTGGGGAAAGTGCCCCTCTTCGCCAGTCCCCTGGGACTGTCTGGTTCGCTGCGGCTCCCTCCTGTCAACACCCTCCGCCCCCTTACTCCTGCCGCCTGGGTGAGGGGATGCCTTCTTCTGCAGCTGTGAGTGCCTGGGGAAGCGCTGTGTGTGTAGGGGGTGGGGGGGGGAATCAATGAAGTTTCCATTTTACTTCCCTAAGGGGCAATAATGATGGAGCAATTAAACGGCCTCCTTATCAACTTAGCTGGTAAAAATGTCCTTCCAGACAGACGTTTGAGAGAGAGAGAGAGAGAGACTGTGTGTGAGTGTGTGTGTGTGTGTGTGTGTGAAAGAGAGAGAGTGTGTGTGTGTGTGTGTGTGTGTGTGTGTTCCCTGCCGGTGCGCTTCTATAAATAGCCCAGGTCTGGGCAGATTGGCAATGTCTAGCCAGGACAATGGCTACATGAGCACAAGTTTAGGGCACCTTTTGTTGATGCTGGTAGTGCCCTTTTGGGGAAGGACAGGAGCCAAAGCTATTCTGTCTGCTTCATCTTGCGATTGAAATGTCAGAAAAGAACTCAAGACAATTGGAAAATACTCATCATACTGGGACTAAGAAGCCCTCCCCCTTCATGGGAACCCCTAGACATTCTAGCTGGTAATTTCTTTCCCCCTCCTCAGGTACTTATATTTTTATGAGTGCTTTATTTGTACAAAATTCCTGCGTAAAACACTGAAATACTTATGTGTATGTGAACACACAGGCACACACACATTTTTTTCTTTTCCTGAAGGTTAGTCAGGGATGATTACTTCACACAATCATTTTCATATTTGATTGTCCTAACAGTGGTAACTATCATTTTTATAGCACTTTAAGGTCATAGATTTAGAGCTGGGAGGGACCTTAGAGATCTTGAAATCCAACACCCTCATTTTGCAGATGAAGAAACTGAGGCACAGAGTGTTTAAAATGACTTGCTAAAAATCACACAAGATAGTAAATAGTAAAGCTAAGATTTGAACCCAGGTTTTCTGACAACACATATACCTCTTTTTCTACTAAGCTACTCTTTGCCTCAGAACAAAGCTGTGAGGTAGATAGGATTCATATTATCCCCATTTTAAAAGGCAGTTGGGAGAGATTGTGAATTGCTGAACCATATACTCCAAGCAGAACTCCTAACTTCAGGTCTGGTTCTTTCTTGTAATTGCTGCATCAGAATATCTTTCCAATCCCTTCATTTGCCTATCAGTGTACACTAATACAATTGTTGGTTTTGGTGATATGTTTTGGGTAAAGCTGGGGGAAGGAAGGTGGAAGTTTATCTAGACTGTGTGTCCCCACTTACTTAGGACAGGGACCTGTTTTGGTATACAGATCCAAGTGGTGCTTGCAGGGTCATGGGAGTACCACATTCATTAGCCAGGGCAACATGGTGTTGCTACATATTAGACAGAATACTTGGCCAAGATTGCAACCTCACCGTACAGTACTATGCAAAAGGTAAAAATAACAAGGGGCCCTGCCTTCCCAGACAGAAGAGAAAGCAGAGCTGCTGTCAAGAGAGGTTGGTTTGCTTTGGTTACGAGAGTCCAGACTTCCCACTCCATTCCCTCCAAATAATTAAAGTCCTTACTAAGGGCTCTGGGCAGAGTCCTTCCCTCCCTTGGCCTTTAATATTTTTTCAATGTCAGGGCAGTTGAAGTGGCAAAATTGCCCACTTAGTTCTCCAAAGGGCCTTTGTAAACTCCTGAGACATAATTAAATGCCTGTGAATATTATTAAAATATGTCCACATGTGTTTGGAAACAAAATCTTACCAATTTTAAAGGGCTAGCTACATTTTATTTCATTTTGCTGTAAAGCATTATGCTGGAGGGCCACCAAATTGCTGTTAGCTTTAAATGATACGTCAACTCTGTGATTCTGTGCTCCAGAGCTTTATCTTCTTCCTTTTCCTCTAATTCCCTTCAGGGTCTTGCATCTTACTTTTTTTTTTTTTAATTCATCATTTTTATTTCTGTCCCTTCCTCTCAACTAATCAGCCATAATGATGTTTTGGCTGACACGGAGACAGTCTTGTTAATTTAGTTGTCTGCCCTAACTGTCTGCTCTTCCAAATAAACTTCATTTCTCACTTCTGATGAAGTGAGGCTCTGGGGAGGCTGACCTACAAGGTTCATGGCTCACACTTTTGCCTGCCTTTTAGGTGTTCTAATTAGTTCCTACATTCAATATATTTTTTAAACACAGCCCTTAATTATTTGAGGAGAGAAAGCTGGAAAGACAAGGATAGATCTTGAAAATGTTTATCTGTTACCAATACTAATCAGATTTCCCTAAAAGGTTGTGTTGACATGAGTTAAGTCCAAATGCCCTGTGTTCAGGTCTGCCTTTATGCTGGGAGGAAAATTTGGAGGGTCCTAATGAAAATCTGTTTTCTGTAAGAACTTATCTCAGATGTGTTTTCAAATAATAGTTTACAGTTGATTTTAAGAACAAGGCCTTGAAAGGAGTCAGACTTGTAATTTTTATTTTTAGTTAACATTTACAAGTAAGGTAGTTGACAGTACGAACAAGCCATTTTATCTAGACTGTGTGGCTAGGTTCTTCCCCTCTCTGTGTATAAATTTCCTCATCTATAAAATAAAGGGATTGGGCTAGCTCTTCAATCAATCAACAATTTATTAAGCATCTACCAAATATCCAGCTTTGTGCTAAACCCTAGGTATACAAATGGAAAATGGTTCCTGCCCTCAAGGAGCTTAAATTCTACCCCTTAATACCCTATCTTTTAAAATTTCCTGCAGCCTTGTCTTTCTATGGTCATTCTATGTTTTCAGGTGCCTTCTCTCCTGGTGCGTTTATAGTCTACTTACAAGATGCTGCCCCCTTGGAATTAACACCATTAGAAGTTGCTGACTCATACACAATAGGGTCAGACCTTACTCCTAATTTGGGGATGAGCTCCTGGGTGCATACTGTCCTACTGGTACTATTGGCATGCTTCAGTTAGGATCCTAGAGTTACAGAATGTTAGAACCAGAAAGGATCTTGGAGATAATCAAATGAGGAAACTGAGTCTCAGACAAGTAAAGTGACTTCTCCAAAAAACAGAGAACCAAATCCACAAGTTCTCTTCCCTAAGGTTCATCCTGTAGTTCTTTGTACTGTGTTACCCTTCCATGACTTTGGAAAAATCCGGCTGGCCCTTTATGGGAAATACTAAAAAGCATATCATCCTAGATTTGAATATGTCCTTTGCAATATATGTAGATTTAGTCTGGCTACTGTTCAGACAAAAACTAAACTGGAGTGACCTGTTCATATAACTCCAGGGGGCCTGGGTAGGCCATTAGACTTCTTTGACTTTCACTAGCCAATAGGGGATGGTTGAGAGTCAGAAAATGCAGAATTTCATTTAAATAGTTTGCTACCCTGAAAACAGATTGCGATGGAACACATCTCTGTTTTGGGAAATGGGGGGTGGTCACTGGGATTAAAAGCTGCCAAGTGCTAACAGACTTCAGATCAAAGGACAGATGTTTAAACTGCCTACTTTTGAGGAAAGAACAGTTCTCCTGGCAAGTTTTTTGTTTTGTTTTGGATTTTTTGGGGGCTTTCTGATTGACTTCTTCTCACTGCCTTCTAGAAAAAGAACCCATTGGCTTCTTATTGAAGTTTCTGATCAGACAAATCCCAAGAAAAATCTTAGGGCTATGGATCCCAGGTACTATTTTGACACATACATCCATTTATTCAACAAGTATTTCTTGAGCACCTACTATGAGATTTGGTCACGTGGTTGGCACAGAACTCCTGTGAACGGAGCTCTTATTTGAA